GAATCACACATTATACATCATAATAGTTCATTAGAACACAACCCATGAAACACAAACAAAGTAAGAGTATAAATAAAGTATTTCTAACAATTTGCCATTTAGGCAGGAAGATTCTTCTCAGATAGGCAGACAGTGTGTACCAAATACGTCCCCATTTAGCCCTTGAATGAACAAAATTGTCTTGGCTTTCCATGCCTGGGCCTCCTGGATTGAAGTGTATGTTGAAGAACTTGGGATGTTGGGCTCCTGGTTTTGGAACTGATGAAATAAGACGTGTTGGAGGGAGCTCCCGCAGACTATTGTTTTTACAAGGTGCATTTGGGCTTTTTTTTTTTTTTTTTTTTTTTCCTGCCCTCTAAATATTAACGACTTTACTAAAGTTCAAGATGCCTCCAAAGCCCAAGAATATGAATAATTCAACAAATGTGGTGGCAAGGCCTGGTCCACCACCTACATCCTCGCCTCAGCCTTTGGTAGATTCTTCCACACCCCGGACTCTCAGGCTGAACTCCTCGTTACACTTCATGAAGAGATGGCGGCAATTTTCATGACACAATTGGAGACAGCGTTAACAAATAATCTGATTCAGATTAAGTCAGAGCTGCACAGCGTGAAGACTGAGCTAATTGCTAGCAATGCGGCTATCAGGTTGGAAGTGGATGCATTAAGGGTGACCGTTGCAGACATGGAGGGACTGCTGTCTTCAAGCACTGATGTTGTGGTTTCTCAAGAGCAATTTGGACAAGCTTTCGGCACCGGTTCTCGCTCTTGACAGGAAATGCGAAGACTTGGAATCAAGATCTTGACGTAATAACATTAGAATCACAGGACTACCAGAGCAGCGCAACCCAGTCAACGCGGACACGATTTTCACTCTGCTTAAAGACGCCTTCTGCCTAAAAAAAAAAAAGCCGGTTGTTGACCAGGCTCACCGATCTCTACAAGCCAAGCCCGGCGAGCGGCCCCGTCCCATAATAGCTCGTTTACATTATTTCACAGACTGCGCCGATATCCTGTGACGTGCCAAAGCCCAGCAGCGGGTTAAGCTGGGGGATTCCACAGGTTCCATCTTTCCTAATTTTACCACTCAGATCGCAAAATCCTTTGCAGCCTTCAACGACATCAGACGCCAGCTCAGAGAGGTTCCGGACATACGGTTTGGGCTTCTGTATCCATATCACCAGAGGAGACAAGGAGACGTCATAAGAGAGTTTACTTCACCTACGGAGGCGACTGCGAAAACACTCCAGATAATATTAAAACTGGCTCTGTCACCTTAAAGTTAAATTCTGTTTTAAATGTAAGAATAGTTGCAGCCAGGCTTTTCTTTACTCTGGCAAATTCTAAGTGACTTGTGGCAGTGATGGCTGTAATGCACATTTCAATCACTTAGGTTTTGCATAGTTTGATTTGATGTTAGTCGGATCGTCAGGGGTCGTGCAGAACTAAAGCTATCATTATACGCAGATGATTTGCTTTTGTATGTCACTGATCCATTAGGAACCCTCCCTACCATTGTTAAGTTATTTCACAGATTTTGTCAGTTCTCAGTGTATAAAGTTAATGTCGCCAAGAGCAAATGCTATCCGGTTAACCAACTGGCATTGCAGCTCTCCCAGTCTGATATTCCTTTTAAGCTGTGTCCTTTGGGTTTTCGGTATCTTGGGGTCAGCATAACTATATCTTTTAAGTCTTTCTTCCACTCTTTGCGGACATTAAAAAAGAATTTCAAAAATGCGGGTCCCTCCCACTCTCTTTGATTGGAAGAATAAGTACTGTTAAGATAAACATCTTGCCAAAATTTCAATTTTTCTTCATAAATCTACCTGTATTCTTACCAAGAAGTTTTTTTTAAATCAGTGGATTTGGCTATCGCTCACTTTTTATGGAACGGCAAAACACCCAGAGTAAGACTAAAAATACTTCAGAATTGTAAGTTTTATGGTGGCCTCTGCTTACCCAATTTTCAACTTTTTTACTGGATAGCTAACTTAACTAAAATTGTTTTCTGGTCTAATTCAGTTGATTTACCATGGTGTCAACTGGAAGCACACTCATCTTCCTCAGCCTCACTTTTGGTTTTACTGACAGGTCCAACCTCCGTAAATCCATCTGGCCATACCAACAACCCAATAGTTGTAGATACTTTGAGAATATGGTTTCAGTTTAGGAAACAGTTTAAGTTTACAGGCCCTATAGTCTTAACCCCACTTCTGAAAAATCCAGTGTTTACACCCGCTACTACTGACCTGACCTTCTCCTTTTGGCAAGATATGGGACTAAAATGTTTCAAGGATTTTATAAGGAAGGGTTGTTTTGTTCTTTTACTGATTTGGCTTCTGAATTCGACCTCCCACCTGTTTAGATACTTTCAGATACAGTGAGGGAAATAGGTATTTGACCCCTTGCTGATTTTGCAGGTTTGCAATCATGAGCAAACGTGGGGGGAACTTATACAACTTAACCCCTTCCAAAGGTCTTTAAATTCAAAGATATATAACTCGATTCAGTCATATGACATCTTTCTAACTAGAAACACTAAGAGAGTTTGGGAGCATGAAATGGGGCTGGTTTTTGATGAGTATTGGTGGGAGGAAGCCCTGACAGCCATTCACAAAACTTCTATATGTGCCCGCCTGAGTTTGATACAGTTCAAGGTAGTATTCAGATGTCATTACTCAAAAACCAGGCTGGCAAAGTTCTCCCCTAATATGATGGATGTTTGCGATCGATGTGGAAGTTTATCTTGCAATCTTACACACGTTTTTTAAATGCTCAGCTCTCACAAATTTTTGGCAAGTTTACTTTCACACCATGTCTGTTGTACTTTCAAGAACTATTGATGATTCAGCACATAGTGGTATCTTTGGTCTCCCGGAGCAATATAGTCAATCCTCCGTAAGAGAATTGGAAGTGATAGCTTTTACCTCTGGGATCCCGAGGAGTTACCTTCTCCTTAACTGGAAATCAACTATATCCCCATCCAGTACAATGTGGATAAAGGAGGTCAAGTCCTTTTTGAAGGTGGAGAAAATTAGATATTCAAAAACTGGTGACTTGAACAAATTCTACCCTAAATGGCAACCATTTATTGAGTTTGTTGTTTCAATGTAGAAATGTAATCCACCTTGTGCACACAGCTCCCTCCCCCCCCCCCCCCCCCCATTTATTTATTTTTTATTTTATTTTTTTATCATCTAGTTGTTTATTTTCTCTTTTTCCTGTTCTTTTTTTTCCCCGGGAGGTGTGTATGTGTGAGTATGTGCATATATGTCACTAACTGTAGGGAACTGTAGGTGAAAAGTTGTCACTCTTATTTATAGAAATGCTACTATTATGCTTGTTTGTGTAATAACTAAATAATTAAAAAAAAGAACTTGGGATGTGATCAAATTAGCTTTTAACTAAGAGCAATTAGAATGTTTTCAAACCACAAACCAATAACCTTTAGTTAAATGATTCCTTAGTCTCTCTGAAATAGCTAGCAACAAATGGTCATGAGGATTCCATTAAATGGCTTTTGGTCATAATTTGGCAGTCGCAATTTAATGAGCATAAGAGAAATCATATGAACATTATAGTTATATCATTGTTTAAATGCTTAGTGAAATAAAGCTTGCTTTAGCTTTAAAAAAATATGTTGCCCAATAAATAGAGCCCTGGAATCACATCCTAGATGGCAAAAATATTTAACTGTTTTTCTCCATGATGATACTTTTAATGGTATTTGCTGAGAATTTAAATTTTTAGTTCTTATCATCATCAACTACCGTTGTTGTTTCCCTGGAAAGAGAAAAGGTCAAATCAGTCAAAAAATAGACTCCTTCGTGTCCTCAAAGCGTAAGTCAAATTATTAACCTGAGCACCTAAACACAACAAACCTCATTGTAAGTAAAAAAAAAAAAAAGATCAACTTCAATGCAACATGTTAAAATCATAACACAAAGATGTTTCACACAGATGACGAGTTCAGCTCTTCAGAATCAGGGTCAGTCAAAGCTCACATTGAAAAGTTGGAGGATTTAATCTCAGCGCTCCTCTTCCCCAATGGTGGCTGAGATGACCCGATCATCAGAGTTCATTCTCTAATCCAGAAATCTCTGCCAATACTGACCATCAGCCATCAGGTGGTCATCTAACACTTGGACTTTCTTTTGTATTAAGAAACTTATATCTAACACTCAGATCCTAAAAAATTTTAATCTTTCATTGAAATACAACACATTTCCCTTCTCATTCATGTTGTAAAATTAAATAATCAAAAAGCCAAGCTGATGTCAGACATCTTCAGGTGGGCGTCTTCATCTTTCTGTTGATGTTAGTCCCTTATACAGGCAACATTTTGAACGTTGTCTGAA